ACCTAACTATAATGTTTAGTTTATGTGACCAGTTTAACCTAGCTATATATTTATTTTATGTGACCAGTTTAACCTATCTATAATGTTTAGTTTATGTGACCAGTTTAACCTAACTATAATGTTTAGTTTATGTGACCAGTTTAACCTAACTATAATGTTTAGTTTATGTAACAAGTTTAACCTAGCTATATAATATTTAGTTTATGTGACCAGTTTAACCTAGCTATAATGTTTAGTTTATGTGACCAGTTTAACCTAACTATTTTTTTTTAGTTTATGTGACCAGTTTAACTTAAAGATACATTATGGGAGATTTTTATAGAGAATTGGTCATTCTTACTATAACAGTTCAAAAGTAGATGATGAAAGAAGAATATATTGAAAATTTCAGTCAAATTACTTTATTCTAAACATAGTTATCATCGTTGTAATATTTGACTAGAAATGGTAGTGAAATGTGCTTTCACCTTGGCTGATCGTTTGATTGACAGGCGTTAACTCCACCTACATATCTCGATCAGCAAGTAAAGTTTTCAATGGCATGCGGAAACGCTCTACAGCAGCCTCGCTAAGTACACTCTATCATTTAGCCTCGATCTAACTGACGCATTCTCATCAGGATGCGCCATATTTGAATTAATTAATAAGTGAAATCCTTAAGTTTATGTGACCAGTTTAACCTAGCTATAACATTTAGTTTATGTGACCAGTTTAACCTAGCTGTAATGTTTAGTTTATGTAACAAGTTTAACCTAGCTATATAATATTTAGTTTATGTGACCAGTTAAACCTAGCTATAATGTTTAGTTTATGTAACAAGTTTAACCTAGCTATAACATTTAGTTTATATAACAAGTTTAACCTAGCTATATAACATTTAGTTTATGTGACCAGTTTAATCTAGCTATATTTAGTTTATGTGACCAGTTTAACCTAGCTATATTTAGTTTATGTGACCAGTTTAACCTAGCTATATAATATTTAGTTTATGTGACCAGTTTAACCTAGCTATATAATATTTAGTTTATGTGACCAGTTTAACCTAGCTATAATGTTTAGTCTATGTGACCAGTTTAACCTAGCTATAACGTTTAGTTTATGTAACAAGTTTAACCTAACTATAACATTTAGTTTACGTAACAAGTTTAACCTAGCTATAACCTTTAACCTAGCAATAACATTTAGTTTTTGTAACAAGTTTAGGTTTACAAATTTGTGAAAGGTTATTCTGTTACTAAAATGAACATTTTTCTAACTGCGCCTTTCGGATCTTTAAACCTCCTGAACCATCACCTGATCGATTAAGTGATATTTGAGTCCAGCTAGGGCAAAAACAAATTCAGTTACAAATTACACAGCTTGATTTATAATAATATCACATTACTATAGCTGTAGAGAAGGCGGAACTGGGGTATCATATATCATTATTACCTTCATCATGTAAATTACCTTAAATAGAGAGTCAATTGTCACTATCTCAAACAAAGCCTAGTTACATTTATCTCTGGAGTGGTTTAATGCAGGCTCGTGAAATCACACAGTCTGCCTTTGAGTCAAATGGCGTCGTTTTCGATTCAACGCTTAAACTTGACAAGGTGCCTGTTCAACCTCGTGGGTTTTTTTTGGGCCCTCCCACTGCTATTGACCCATACACGCAAGCGAATTAATGAAATATTTTAGTCCCAAAATGACCTAGTTTGTGTCGAGTGGCTGTTAAGCCCCATTTCTCTTTCTGTCAAATTCATCTCTGTTAAAGCTGCCAATTGTCATTTTTACCCATTTACACCACGCTAAAATGGACCCAGATTTATCATTTTACATTTAATAAGAAATCAAAACCAAAAATACCAATGGTAGATAATCTTCCATTGCTTTTTTTTCTTTAAAAGACGCCCATCAATTTGAGCAGATGTAAATGTGAAATCAATCAGATTAAAAGTGGAAGGTGACATCCAGGGTCATACGAGCGGCTTTTGACCCTATGACATCAGACATTTGATTAACCAATCAGCGTTGATGTTTCTAGTGGGATAACCACAGTTCCATGCATCCCACGCCAAGAACTCGCCATAACAGACTGTTTCATTGGCTAATCCTCCCCATCAACTAGAATGTGGGTTATATAAGAACTCTTTCATATCCTAGTGCAGGAAAGTCTCGTCAAATGAAATTTTGAACTATAAAAATAGAAACGAAATAGGATCTATGGTTTAATCAGATTGGTGTGAAATAAGCCGTGGAAAATTTGATATCATTATAATAATGCAAATGAAGCACAAATATTTTTATAGTCCTGTAGTTTGATAAAGGATATCAAGAAAGATAATTCATTACTATCTATATGAGGCAAACTAGGTTATTTCGGGACTAACATATGGTTCAATTTTATTTCAATAATTTACTAGAAGGAGGAAACCCATGAGGTTAGACAGGAGACCCTACTCCTTGTCACGAACAAATGTGGGATTAAAACCACTTTGCTTCACTCAATGCTCAATGACAGACCCTATGATCTAAAGCACACATGTTAACCCAATTACCCCCTCCTACCCTTCCCCATCCACCCATCCATGAAGTAATTATGCATGACCAACAAAGCTATTAACACACTGTGCAATATATTTCATCAAGATGTCCCTTTAATATTTGATGTAGCTGTGTACATAAAGCACTAATCTGTAAGAGTTCAAATAAGCAGTGAGGCTTTTTTTTAAAAAATCCAGGAAGTTGAATTGAGTTTATGGTAGACTATCTTTATATAGATACATGTAACTCCCATGAATAGATGCTAAATTGATATCTATGTAAACATACCTCCTTTATATAATGATCTATATTATTTACCTATGTGAGTATATTCAAACAATCTATATTCAGTGTGGCTATAAATAACCATGTTTACAAAAATGATTAGGAATAAATGGCACTTGAGATTTCATTCTCCAAAATTCGTAAATAATTGAAATGAAATGGCGGTTAATCTATTTTTCTGCACCAACTGGATCAATCCAGATGGGTATTCGCCATACAGTGTGTACCAACTGGGTCAATCCAGATGGGTATTCACCATACAGTGTGTACCAACTGGGTCAATCCAGATGGGTATTCGCCATACAGTGTGCACCAACTGGCCAATCCACATGGGTATTCACCATACAGTGTTCCATAAGGGAAATTTGCATGGACTGACTCTTTATTTCAAATTCCAACTGTCAAGGGTTCTTTTATGTGTACACCAATGTGGACAGTGGCGTAACAACCTACTCTTATTTCAAATTATAACTGTCTAACTGACAAGGGTTCTTCTAAATGCATGCCAATGTTTTTCGGACAAACCGAACATCTGGACACTGTTCCGTGTCCGCCCTGCCATCTCCCCCCCCCACCAGCCGTTACTGCACCCAAGACAAGGGAAAACCATGCCAGACAATCCAAAGGAACTTTCTCGGGTAACACCTTGAGCAAACCCCAGACCTCCTCGTTGGCATATGACTCTTTCGCCAACCGTGACACCCTCATAGCTAAGTAAACACTGCTGTATTTCAGACAGGCTTTAATTTTATTAGAAATTTATCTTTTAAATGTTAGTAAAGTAACCTGCTGCTAAAATTTATCTCATGATAATAAAAATAGTGATCAATCAATATCCCATAACTCATGCTGTCGAGTTTCCCAATAGGAAAGACCATTTCCCAGCAGTAATGACTATTTCAAACTGGGGAAATGAAATGGGGATACACAGGTGAAAAATTGTTATGTCATGAAATTATAATATTAAAATCTTTTGTAAAGCTTTGGTGGCCACTTATTGCCTTGAATATTAATAATCTGGCCTTTTTTCGAGGAATATAATGTAGTGTGATGTGTTTATTACACTTGACAGGTCATTTCTCTACAACATCCAGGAATTTCTGTGCTACATAAAATTTTCAGTGCACTATTCCCCAGGTACTCAGCAGAATTGTCCACAATGATTGGGTCCTGTATTGACTGACAACTTATACGAGTCATGTTTGACATGACCTGCCAATTCAAGCTAGTCAAAAAAAACTATTTTCCTAAGGCGCAACTTGCAATAGCAATGTTGACTAGCCTTCTATAAGTAATATCAAATCAACCAATGGAATCAGTAAATTGAAAAAGGAACAACAGTATAATACATTTATACTGTTTGAATGGCATTTAGTAATTGAGCACATTAAAAAATAAACACAAAGTTATATGGATAACAATTACTATATTTCTATTAAAGAGAATCATTGTTGAAACGTAGCTTTAATAGAAATATAGTAATTGTTATCCATATAACTTTGTGTTTATTGTATAATACATTAGGACTATATACAGTCTTAATAGTTCACTAACTGTTGTGCTGTTTCACACGTACACTCATCAGAATATAAAGACTTTTGTTTTGAAAAGGAAAATAAACGTACACTACTAACAATAGGTTTATTTCCAAGATAAAATACAGAATATGAATACATGGAAAGTAAACTAAATGCAATTTATGGCATAGTATTGAATGTATGTGGGTGCTATTCTATTTAAACACCAGAGTTAAAAACAGAAGTAAATATAATGGGGTTTAATGTCCTACTTTTCTGCACCGACCGGGCTAATGATGACAGTGTGCTATGAGGGAAATTTGTCCCAGGATGTGACATTACGACGTACTCTTACACGCACGCTAATGTATACATGGGACCTTGGTTTTTCATATCATCCAAACGACTAGACTCTCTCCTTGTCAGGCCCTCCGTCTTGCATCACTGACAAGGGGAATCAACACCAAAAAATCCTGAGACACTTTCTTGGATAACAACATGAGTGAACCCATAACAATTTGGTGTAGTGAGCCAGCGTCTTACTAACTTAGCCACAGCGGCTCCCTATAAGGAAGTAGTGACTGAGAATAGCATCGTAATGATTGAGAAGAAATGTCTTTAAAGGAGCACTGTCTTCAAATGACCATAAATCTAAGAATTAAAAACACTTACTTGTAATCTATTGAAGATAATCGATTCACCACAATGTTCACATAGAATCTCTCGATTAATACAAACAGATGATAAATGTGTGTTGATATCTCTTCGCAGTAAAATATTTGGGCATTTATTTGGGCATGGAATCAAACCCAGGGGACAGTCATCCACATGCCTCTGCAAATAAATTAAAAAGAATATTTAAAAATTTAAAGATATATCAGGAACTCAAACATGAATGAGTCCAATCAAAAGTGAGAGAGAAATAGAGTTTAACGTCCACTCGAAACAAATTGGGTGATTTCGGGACTAACATATGGCTCCATTTGAGTTCAATAATTTGCTTGCATGTAAAAGGTATTTATCAGTAGGTGGAAACGCATAGGTTAGACAGGCGACCCTACTCCTTGTACAAGCTGGATATCGAAACCACGCCACATAACTCAATGACAGAAATGAAATGAATTGGGGTTTAACGTCCGACTGTTCTGCTCCTAACCTGGGCTAATGAAGACGGGCATCATACAGTGTGCTATGAGGGAAATTTTGCCCGGGCAGCGGCACTACGGCCTACTTTATCGAATTCCAACTGCCAAGGGATCTTAGACGTACACGCCAATGTGTACACGGGACCTTGGTTTTCTGTCCCATCCGAACAACTAGACAGCTGTCCTTGTCAGACCCTCCATCCTGCATCACTGACAAGGGGAAATCATGCCGGAAAATCTAAATGAACTTTCTCAGCCAATGCAGGGATCGAACACCCGACCTCCAGGCCTCAATGACAGACTTTATGGTCGAAATCCACCCAACACAAGAGATGTTGGCTTGTTTGCTAATTTTAGTTTATTTATCTTTTTGCGTATTGTGTTCCCAGTTAGTAGTACATAAAATCTATCATATCGCAACCCAAGACCCCTATATGCAAGCAAATTATTGGAATAAAATTGAATCTTATCCGAAATGACATAGTTTTTGTCAAGTAAACGTTAAACTATAGCTCTTCCTCTTTCTCTTTATTTGAACTCCTTCAATACCATTAGGCAAAGAGACTTTAATATTTAAGATACACTTAATAAATAGTCATTTAATCAAATGCATAAATTTTATATGGTTACCACTGCATGCGTTTATTTCTTTATCTATCACCCATAGCAATGTTTAACCAGCGGCTGCCAGGCAGGATACGCCCACATTTTCGAGAGATGGATAGAGGACAAGCTAACAAGAAAGTGATTTTTCCTACAATCAAGGGCCATAATTCAGGAAATTACAATTCATTATGCGTGAATATCGAAAGGAACCGAGATCTTTGGGTTATAAACTTACATTTCAAGTTTCAACAAAATCAGATAAAAATTGTGACGTCTATAGTGTCCACAACCTTGATATACCATATTTTTACGCTATTTGAGAACGAACGGCGGCCATTTTGTCTGTCAATTTTGGGCCGATTTTCACGAAATTTGAACTCAGCCATCCTTACGGTGTAACTGTGATATAATAATACGTTTTTTTAAATCGGATAAAAATTATGACCTCTATAGGGGCCATGAAGTTTCGATCCGATACATGCCAATATCGAAAGGAACCGAGATCTTTTGGAGATAAACCTATATTTCAAGTTTCGTCAAAATCAGATAAGAATTGTGACCTGTAGAGTGTCCACAAACAAATTGTGGACGTCCGGACGGACAGGGGCGACGGCATAATACGTCCACATGAAAATGTGGGCGTATAAAAATCTAATACAAGTTTTGTGTTGTTTGGCCTACTTGTAATTCAATGTATTATTTCTAAATTAATACCCTCGGAAGTGCAAATTTACAAGCTTTAGGAAGATTAAATAATGTTATATATACCTGAATAAACTTCAACATGACAACTTCATCACATCCATGATTATTATTTGGGCATTTTACATTAAAATTCTGGATTTCACGCTTGGCGAAGTTGTCAGCAAATAGATCAGACTCGACAATTTTTTCATTATCAACCGGACAACTCTTGTTTGATTCCCTGAAAAATAAAATTATTGATTTCCTAAATGTTTCCTTGCTGCATTAATAATAATGTACATTTCAGCCTAATACTGTGAAATGAGAGATGTCGATGGGTCTTTTATGAGCATGTCAGTAATAAAATCCTGTCGAGAGATTCTATTTTAATCACCCTTGTTTATCATGTGACATGATTTGAGAGAGAATCCATTTTTACATTGTATTTATTGTTTAGTCGTTGTCTATTTACCATAAGCATCGTAATCAAAGTACATTCCGGGATAATCCTCTGCCAATTTCTTTTTCCGCCGTTTAATCTTGCCCCATTACTAAGCATTACAAGCGCGACATCACAATCCTTTACTAAGTGCTGTAGTTGGTTAAATAACACTTACATACCCAACACCAGAAATTAATCCGAGAAATTATCTTAGATTGACGGGTGTACAAATCACGTCTGCTCCATGAAACATGACCCTGGATCAGGCCCCGAGTTAACAAAGCATTCTCAGACATAAGAATTTACTCAAAATTATTTGTCTTATTTTAACTAAAATATAGCCCTTTATAAAACATTTGTTGTTTTAATGTGGGGTCACGGTGGCTAAGTGGGTAAGATGCTGATTGCTAGCCTGCAGGCTGGGTGTTCGATCCCTGCATTGGCTGAGAAAGTTCATCCAGATTTTCCGGCGTGGTTCCCCCTTGTTAGAGATGCATGACGGAGGGCCTGACAAGGAAAGCTGTCTAGTTGTTCGGATGGGACGAAAAACCAAGATCCTGTGTACACATTGGCGTGCAAGTTAAAGATCCCTTGACAGTTGGAATTCGATATAAGAGCTTTCCGTAGTGCCGCTGTCCGGGCAAAATTTCCCTCATAGCACACTGTATGGCGTATACCCATCTTCATTAGCCCAGTTCGGAGCAGAAAAGTTGGACGTTAAACCCCATTTCATTTCATTTTTTTGTTTTAATGTACATGTATCAAATACATCAATGAGAGAGAGAGAGAGAGAGAGAGAGAGGGTTTAACATCCACTAGACACAAACTAGGCCATTTTGGGACTAACACATGGTTCAATTTTATTTCAATAATTCGCTTGCGTGTAGGGGTCTTTAGCAGTGGGAGGAAACTGGAGGACCCGGAGAAAACCCACAAGGTTGGACAGACGACCCTACTCCTTGTCACGTACAACCGGGGAATCGAAACCCTGCAGTTGACTCAATGACAGACCCTATGATACAGCGCATGTGTGCAAACCATTCGGCCATCCAACCCCCCTACATAAATAAGAAAATATATGCAAAGTTTTGTGTTTCTGGAACAAAGATATTTCTCATAAACAGTTATTGAAAGTTGAGTAAATTAAGTCTGAGATGTCTGGACTTCATTTGTGTAACATTCTAATGTTGTAGTATCTGAGAATGCTCCGTCATTAATCAAAGAATAATCTGTACTATCCACGAAACTCGATTAAATAAAATTATCTGTACTTACCGTAACCATTTAGTAATACAAGCTTTACAGAATCGATGACCACATTTGGTCTGCTGAGGTTCACGAAGAACCAAGAGACAGATGACACACTCGTACATGGAGTCTGGCTTGGGAACAAACTCATAGTCGAAACCTTCCACTGTTTTCTGTAGATGGTAACTGTTATCATTACTAGACATGGAGGAACTTGGGAACGACGTTCCACTGTATAACTCTTCCTGTTTCTCTGCCATTCTTCTCCACACTGTATCTAGAAACTACATGTAAACATCCAATCGGGTTCATGGTACCAGTGGTGACTTGTTAGTCCCACACCATGATTAGTCCACTGATTTACATCTGTAAATAAAACACTATAATCAATTTACAGTTCCATAGAAGATGAGAAAAACGAAATGAAACAGGGTTTAACGGACTACTGTTCTGCTCCGACTGGGCTAATGAAGACGAGCATACGTCATTCAGTATGCTATGGGGGAAAGTTTGCCTGGACAGCAGCACTACGGTCTACTCTTATATCGAATTCCAACTGCCAAGGGCTCTTTATGTGAATGCCAATGTGTTTTTGATCCCATCCGAATAACTAAAAATCTGTCTTTATCAGGCCCTGACAAAGGGAAACTATGCCGGAAAATCCTAAGGAACTTTATCAGCCAACACCAGACTAGTGAGCCAGCATCTTAATCACTTAGCAACCATTGCATTAACTTAAACTTTCTGAGCAGAAACGTAGATGTTAAACCTCATTTCATTTATTGATTCACGGTTACTATGTCACAAGTTCTCCGGCCCCACATTCTTACTTAAACCTGAAAAGTTCGCAAATGAATGAAAATTAGCAACTTGATTCATTGTGTAAGATTCAGATAAAGAGATGGTCATTCTTGCTATATTTCAAAAATAGATAACGAAAAATGAATATATTGAAAATTTCGTTCAAGTTACTTTGTTCCGAGCAAAGCTACGAGTGTTTGAAAATGTAGGCTAAGTCTACATGTATATTATCTATTTTTAAATTAAATTATAAAATGGCGATCGTGTTTCAATCCATTTAAATCTCAGCCATCCAATGTCTTAGAGAGTTGATTATAGGCTTGTCATGTGAATAAATATCTAAATAATAGTTTATTATATAACAACTGAAGACAAAATAAAAACCAGAAACACCTTCGTATTCGTCCGTGCAGGACCTCTAGGTGTTGTCACATATTTTGCCACTGTAGTAAACATTATCAGATTGATTCTTGAAATTGTATAACAGAAATATAACGAAGCCGGAAAAAATAAGGTACAGACATAAATTCAGGCACAATTCTTCTGGTGCTTGTCATTTAGTTGGCACAAATCCTGCACCGATCAATTTGTCCTTTATCATTGTTTTTATTGATATTTATAATACATGTTAAGCACACAGTTCAAAATGTCAGCTACAAGATCAATCGTGTCTGACATGTGAGGTATAACTAAAACTGTTATTACAAAGTCTGAATATACATGTAATACAATCACACGTATCTCACATTTCCATCTTTATCAAGACCAGTTAAACAGGTAATATGCAAGAGCTAAATCTGCCTAAAGCAGGTCTTTCTTAAGGCCTGAAATGTTATATATACTATTAATTAGACATTAATTAACTTACCAATTAATTCTCGATGCCATCGGATGGCTGTGAAATAAGTAGATTTAAATATGTTTTGTGGTCAATGCAGTTACCGTAAACGTGGATGATCGAGACTTTATTATTGTAACAACGGCAGTAATAACAATCGAGGCTAGTCTACTGTATCCCCAATACAAATTGACTGAAATTCTCAGTATATTCCCTTTTCATTATCTATTTTTTAACTATCAAATTAAAGCGAGAATTATCAGCTCTTTATCAATTCTTACATGTCTGTTTAATGTCTATTACATAGTGAGAACTGTCAGCTCTTTATCCAATTCTACCACAGTTTTTTCCACCCAATTTTATTTTTATCTCGCAATTAAATACTAAATATAAATAAGTCCTGACTGCTGCCCATCTAGTTACAGCACAAGATCTATTTTGGTTTGATTGATGCACAATCAAAAATAAACAGAAGACGAGGAAATAGTCCACATGTCAAAGTACACTCTGCCTGAGGTAATATTTAAAAAAAAGGTTATAACCTACAGTTTTAGACAGTCAAATTAGATTGGGAATTATTAGAACTCTGCAAATTAGAGTTTAAAATTTGCATAATTAATTTCTAACAACTTTTATAGCAAGTGAATTTGATTTCAGACTATTATTATTTATCTAAGAGGTCATTTTTTTGGCAATCTGCTTAAAATACAGATCTATATTTTGTTTCGTTTTTTATACTTTCGATGGCCTACACTAATGAAGATATGACCAGTTGTACTTGAAGGTCGTGTCAGGGGTCAAGTCGCTGTAACAGACCGTTTCATTGGCTTATCCCTCACGTCAAACAAAACGCCGGTAATATAACAACTCTTCCAGATCCTAGTGTAGTGAAGATAAGTAAAAAAAATTTTTGAACTATAAAAAACGAAACAAAATAGGATCTGTGTTTTAATCAGATTGGTTTTTTTTGGCAATAAATTTAAAATGGGGATTTAACATCCTTTTCTGCACCAATATCCATCGAAATTCAATTGTAAAGGAGTCTTTTACATGCACACCAATGTGTACACAGGACCTCGTACCATGCAACGACAACTTAGGCTTTCTGTATTGTATCAACTATCAATGGCAATGGGAGATCACCTGGAAAATATCGAAGAGAGAGAAAAAGAAATGGGGTTTAACGTCCACTAGACACAAACTAGGTCATTTCGGGACTAACATATGGTTCAATTCTATTTCCATAATTCGCTTGCGCACAGGGGTCTTTAGCAGTGGGAGGAAACCGGAGGACCTGGAGAAAACCCACGAGGTTGGACAGGCGACCCTACTCCTTGTCATGTACAACCAGGGAATCGAAACCACGCCACAGTTGACTCAATGACAGACTTTATGATACAACGCGTACATGCTAACCATTGAGCCACCCAACCCTCAAATCCTGCAGAAACCATCACTGACAGTTCAAAGATTTGGTCTGTCAGACATCCGAACATGACATTTTTAAAGTGTTTAAAATAGTATAATAACACAAACACAGTAATTTATTCAGGGGCCATAGCAGATTCTACCACAACATTAGCTTATCATGGGGGAGGGAGGTGATGGCCAAGTGGTCTAATGTCTGCACTTTAGATCATAAGGTCTGTCACTGAGTGTAGTTTCTATTCCGATTTTATACGTGACAAGGAGTAGGGTACCTTGTCCAACCTCATGTGCTCTCTCTGGGTCCTACCCTTCTAAAGACCTACATGTACATGCATGCCAATTATTGAAATAAAGAATCGAACCATATGTTAGTCCTAAAATGACCTAGTCTGTGTACAGTGGGACGTAAACCCCACTTATCTCTCTATATGTTAATCATGGTGATAAGACAACAGAAACGTACACCATATTTCCTTTCTGTTACAATTTTCCTATTTAGTAATTGGTTAATTCATATGAAACTGAAACCTACAGTATTTTGTTTATGAATCACTAGATTGCAAAATTTTACAAATCTAACTTTGATTGCTTTTGATTGGATTGTTGAGAACCAATCAGCCAATGAAAGAAGTGCTGAAATACTACAAGCAACTGTCAGTCTGACTTAAAGAGAGAGAGAGAGAGATAAATGGGGTTTAACGTCCACTCGACACAAACTAGGCCATTTTGGGACTAACATACGGTTTAATTTTATTTCAATAATTAGCTTGAGCGTAGGGGTCTTTAGCAGTGGGAGGAAACCGGAGGACCCGGAGGAAACCCATGAGGTTGGACAGGCGACCCTACTCCTTGTCACGTACGACCGGGGATTCGAAACCACTCCAGTTGACTCAATGACAGGCCTTATGATACAGCACACGCTAACTATTCGACCATCCAACCCCCTGTCTGACTTAAAGCAAAAGTCTTACTATATAACTGGGGTGATTGGGTGGCTGAATTGTCTGTCATTGAGTCAAGAGGCATAGTTTTGATTTCCCTCTTGTACATGACAAGGAGTTGGTCGCCAGTCCAACCTCATGGGTTTCCTCCCACAGCTAAAGACCCCTACGTGAAAGCGAATTAATGAAATAAAACTGAATCATGTTAGTCCCGAAATGACCTAATTTGTGTCAAGTGGACGTTAAACTCCATTTCTAGCTCTCTCTTAGTCTAATTAGGCCTACAGTTTGATATGGCAACGAAATATTTAAAGTAACTCTACTTTGTGTCGAGTGGACGTTAAACTCCATTTCTAGCTCTCTCTTAAGGGGTGTTGGATGGTTAACATGTGTGTGCTGTATCATAAGGCCTGTCATTGAGTCAACTGGCGTGGTTTCGAATCCCCAGTTGTACGTGACAAGGATTAGGGTCGCATGTCCAACCTCGTGAGTTTTCTCCAGGTCCTCCGGTTTCCTCCCACTGCTAAAGACCCCTACACGCAAGCGAATTATTGAAATAAAATTAAACCATATGTTAGTTCCGAAATGACCTAGTTTGTGTCGATTGGACGTTAAACCCCATTTCTCTTTCTCTCTCTCTAGCTCTCTCTTAGTCTTATCAGGCCTACCATTTGATATGGCAACAAAATATTCAAAGTAACCTGTGACATGCATATTTATTGAAATTCCAATCAATTCCAAAATGATTGTACATGTAATAATGTATGACTCATACATGTAATTAAAGTCACTGTGTGCCACCTGCGCTTTCCATGGCTTAATTCACGCAAACATATAGTTAAATGGATTATTGAACATTTCATTCCTGAATGAAATTGAACCGTTTTTCTGCTGGTTTTCATTCTAGTTTCACAATATTGAAAATGAAATGCCGTGTTCTGCTCCGACTGGGCTAATGAAGATGGGCATACGCCATGCAGTGTGCTATGTGGAAAATTGTGACGGGACAGCAGCTCTACGACCTACTCTTCTTATATCGAATTCAAACTGCCAAGGGATCTGTTATGAGCACACCAAGGTGTACACAGGATCCTCAGTTTTCCGTCCCATCCAAATGACTAGACAGCTGTCCTGCACCACTGCAAAAATTGTAGTTTTGCAGGATACCTCCAACCCCACAAAAGACGTTCAGAGATATTAATATTAAAATGTCTGTATCAAAGACCATCTGATTAAAATACAGATCAATATTTCGTTTCGGTTTTTTTATACTTTCGATAGCCTACACTACATGAAGATCTGACAAGTTATTGCGATAGGTCGTGTCAGAGGTCATACGAGCAGCTTTTGACCCTATGACATCAGACATTTTATTAACCAATCAGCATTGATGTTTCTAATGGATTACCCACAGTTCCGTGCAAAACATGTCTAAAGCTCGCTGTAACAGACTGTTTCATTGGTTAATCCCTCACATTATCCAGAACACGTCAATGATAACAACTTTTCCAGATCCTAGTGTAGTAAAGACAAGTAATACAAAATTTTGAACTATAAAAAACGAAATAGGATCTGTGTTTTTATCAAATTGCATCAAAGATTTGCACATGTCAGATACATTTTAAATTCTATGTGTAATTTAATCCAGAATTCACCCATGTGACTGTATGAATCACTCCTGGCAAACATCAAAAGAAGTATTTGTACAATATAGATATCCAAAGTGGTTTTGGCTCTTTAAATTTCATCGAAACCATGATATCATAAAATACAATATATTCTTTTAAAAAAATAAGAGTGAAACTTCCTGTATAGATTGAATGTGACATGAAATGAAATATGGTTTCAGGTCCTACAGTTGTCCCACAATTCTGCTCAGACTGGGCTAATGAAGATATACATATGCCATTCCAACTGCCAAGGGATATTTTAGCCAATGTGTACAGGGGACTCTCTCTCTCTCCTGACTCTGCTCTCTCTCTCTCTCTCCTGACTCCACTCTCTCTCTCTCTCTCTCTCTCTCTCCTGACACGCTCTTTCTCTCCTGACACGCTCTTTCTCTCCTGACTCTGCTCTCTCTCTCTCTCTCCTGACTCCACTCTCTCTCTCTCTCTCTCTCTCTCCTGACACGCTCTTTCTCTCCTGACACGCGCTCTCTCTCCTGACTCTGCCCTCTCTCTCCTGACTCTGCCCTCTCTCTCCTGACTCTGCCCTGCCCTCTCTCTCCTGACTATGCCCTCTCTCTCTCCTGACTATGCCCTCTCTCTCTCCTGACTCACTCCTCTCTCTCTCCTGACTCACTCCTCTCTCTCTCCTGACTCACTCTTCTCTCGCTCTCCTGATTTCGCTCGCTCTCTCTCCGGACTCCTTTAAATAAATTATTGAGCATCAACTCACCAATTCTACAATTCTAGGCCCTAGGCAACAAAAACCTTGAAACCAGCACCAATAACAAACTGCATTATCTGTAGTGTGAAGAAGAAATCAGCAAATGTCAATGTGTTGAAACCTTTCACACACATGTACAGAGCATACAACAAAATAGGGCCAGTACAGACAGTATACAATACTTAAACAGTACAACATACTTGACACAGAATGAATAATTGAGTACCAGGAAGTAATCCAGCAATGGTAATTCAAACCAACCAAAGAACTGTCTAAACCATGATAGATGTACAGATAGTGTTTGGAAATTGAGGGGATTCCCCTTAATAACTTAAAAAACATTTTAGCATTTTATTTCCTCTCTTATACACAATTTTCAAGCTATTGAAGCACTTCAAAATAAAGATAACTGCAATGATATAGTAAAATTATAAACCGGGAAAAAAACGTCTTAACAAATTGTGCATAATATAGGTCGATTAAGCTTGGTTTATATTTAGAAATAAGGAAGTACGTACTAAATTTCAAACAAATTCAATTGTATTTGACTGAGATACTATCACTGTAACCCAGGTATCATTTAATCTTACAAGTGTATCTAGCACTGTGGCTAAGTGGGTACGACGCTGGCTCGCTAGCCTGGAGGTCGGGTGTTCGATCCCTGCATTGGCCGAGAAAGTTCATCCAGATTTTCGGCGTGGTTTCCCCTTGTCAGTGATGCAGGACGGAGGGCCTGACAAGGACAGCTGTCTAGTCATTCGGATGAGACGAAAAACCGAGGTCCTGTGTACACATTGGCGTGCACGTAAAAGATCCCTTGACAGTTGGAATTCGATGTAAGAGTAGGCCGTAGTGCCGCTGTCCGGGCAAAATTTCCCTCATAGCACACTGCTTGGCGTATACCCGTCTTCATTAGCCCAGTTCGGAGCAAAACAGTAGGACGTTAAACCCCATTTCATTTCATTTCGTATCTAGCACTAATTTCTTTCACATTCGTTTAATATCCAATCTTTGTTTCAAAATTTGTAAAAACTGTTTAAAATCACCATAAATCGTTTAATTTGTACTTCTGTCCAGTTTAAAGCTGACCATTCAATTTTGATATTGGGTGTCCAGTTTACAAGTGTTTAATTTCTCAATCACTGTTAAAAAATAAACAACCCAATTGATTAATGATGTATAATGATTAATTTTTTAACAGTGGTCAGGAAATTAAATACTTCTAAATTGGACACTCATCACCAAAATTAATCAGTCAGCTTTAAACTGGACACAAGTACAAATTAAACGATTTTTGGTGATTTTAAACGATTTTTACAAATTTTGAAACAAAGATTTTTTTAAAGGAGCTATATGGCCAATATTTGGGATCTAGATATTGACACAAATGGGTCTCAACGCATGTAATAATATAATCTGAATGTATATCAACTGATTTACATTCAATCGTTTCCGTTTTGACTCTAATTTCAAATCAGTTACATGTATGTTCAACAAAATATGCCAGAAGTCTCAATCGAATGGCAATCTCTAGCATCTGGTTATTCCAGTCTATACTGATAGTATTTATTGCACATGCTCTCTAGAAAAGAATATGGTGTCACCATTTGACATGACTTGTGGAATCTAGCCTCGTTCTTTCTTGTCCCTTGTTACAAATGGCGCTGAAATGAATCGTGTACCAATGGTAAAAAATTTATTTTGTCTTAAAATATTGGATATCACTATAATACATGTAGTTCTAAAACAGATAGTCAACAATGAGCATATTGAAAATTTCAGTCAAATTACTTTATTCTGAGCAAAGTTATGAATAACTGAAGTTTCGGAAAGAATAGCATATTCTTGATTGTCTTTGCTACGGTGACAAACAAAGTCTTGACTTTGATTAAACCTAATGTTTTGACATGAGCCAACGTTTTCGGGTTTAGGGCTAAAAACCATAATGGCCGAAAGCTGTGCTTCTTTAACGTATATTTCATACAGAGCCATGCCTATTAATTTACCGTCTCGGTGGCCGAAACATCATACATTTTGCGGAATAAAACATATGGGTATTCCAATGTCTAGACTGATGACTGCTGGTGGTGTTGAACCCGAGTTGATCTTCCACACAGTAGTAGCCCTTTGTTTCTGGAATTTAAATCCAAACCAGACCGAATAAGCATACCATTTTAGAACATCTGATTATACAGCAAACAACTGTGCTATACACTGTAAGTCAATATACGTCTATAATACACTAGTTGATTGTGCGTTATACAATAACTCACAGTCAATATATATGCATTTACTCTACATGTAGATCAATTAACCATGCATTACACAATAACTCACAGTCCATATACATGTACATTTACATGACCAGTACATGCCTGTAACAGAGGGCCTGGCAAGGACGTGTCTAGTCATTTGGATGGTATGAAAAACAAAGGTCTCATGTACACACTGGCATGCAGGTTGAAATTCGAAATAAGATTCGGCAAAATTTCTCTCATAGCACATTGTATGGCTTATGCCGGTCTTAATACTTCTCAAGAAATGTCCATTATATATCTCTCTATATTACGTTACTTACTGTACAAATGTTATTAAATAAAAGCAGTAGTTGTATCCATCCTACTGTTTTTTATTGTCAATGAATCATAATATAGTGACTTCATGGTTACCCAGTTGGTACATAAAATTAAGACGTTTAATCCCATTTTATTTCAAAATGAAGTGTAGGTGTGGTTGATTTTATAAATTTATAAGAATTTGAAACTTTAACTGTCCCATTGGCATTATTGAGAAAGGTACATGTATTGTGAGCAGTAAAATGACACCTCCCTTTACACGTTTCTATGACTACATGCTTAATTATTGCCCATTGTGTAGATATATCATAAAATTTAATCATTATAAGGGAACCCCACCTTCCAAACAAACCTACTGTCTACGCCTCTATATCAATTTATCTTTTAGTTATTTACAGAAGCGTAACTGTTGCTACAACTAATTTTAATAATACTGCCATTTCTCTACAAGAGAGAGAGATGGGGTTTAACTTCCACTTGACACAAACTAGGCCATTTTTGGACTTACACATGCTTCAATTTTATTTCAGTAATTTGTTTGCGTGTAAGGGTCTTTAGTAGTGGGAGGAAACCTAAGGACTCGGAGAAAACCCACGAGGTTGGACAAGTGACCCTACTCCATGTCACGAACAACCAGGGAATAAAAACTCCGCCAGTTGACTCAATGACAGACCTTATGATACAGAGTGCACATGCTAACCATTCGGCCATCCAACCCCCCTTCTCTACAATAAAATCATTAATAATATTTATACTTTGTCCTAGTAGGTTCATATAACTTTTTTGTATATAGATTTACTGTTTTTAATACAATATGTAGTCCGATCCATATATACCAGTAGGTCCGCAATGTATTTGTATTGAATGATAACAACTAATTAATTAAACTCATATGACATTAATAAGATTTTTACTAAGACCTAGGTATATGTATTGAAAATATGGTATATATCCATGGTTTATTACTTTATATACCGTAATAACTTTTTTATGTAGTTATATACGAGTACAATGTACTTATTGAATGATATAAACTTTTCTTACAAGAATTAAAAATAGATGACTATAGAAACCGGTTCTATTCACGAAACACGTTGGCCATTAAAAGTATATCAGTGACACGTGACCCTGTCATGAATAATTTCCCTCTTCATTCACAAAAAACCGTGGACAAAGAATCACTTCGACAGTCTTTTTCATGTAAGCATTTATGTAGATCTATGACCATACTATATAAAAAAGTTTATTCTGGTGATCTACACATAACAAAACTAACCAAAAATATCTTACCTCAGTTTATTTTTAAAACTTCAGTGCTGTCGGTAGTTCATCATATCTGGTATAAGTCCATTGATGAATAGGAGACATTGCCGAGTTGAACTAGGACATAACCTTTGAAGACGTAAATTAATGTCTCTCCGACAGGATACACAACACTTCCTCATTCGTCAACCAATCGAAACCCTGGATCTCAAATATAAGAACCCATGTAACCGAGGCTACAAGTAGACTAGATTATTAATTTTAAAGGGACAAACTATTAAAGACGAATTTTGTGACTGATTACGACCGTCATGTATATATTTATGGATGCAACGTTTTATGCAATTTAAATTTAGTGAAATTGGTGAATGATCAGGGGCGGATCAGGGGCGGATCCAGAGAGTCAGCTACTCAGCTCAGCTACATAATTTTTTTTGTAAATCAACACTTTTTTTGAGAAAAGTTTCTCGGCCGTGTGCTTTATCCTTGATCGTCAGATGTGGGACATGATCGATGGGCACAGAAAGCACGAGATAATGATATAGACATTATGTGATATCACAATTAATGCTTTGCATCCATGAAATTGAATCACAATGTCATTGTATTAATTCATAATAAAAATTGACGTCAAACGAGGTGTTGAATTTCTCTGTTTAAAAAGCTCAATGTGTATGTATATACGCCAAAATGACGATAGAGACCATGCGGTGGGGGAGGATACATTGTCTGAGGAACCTGGCAAACCCCCTCCTGCAAAAATTCCTGGATCCGCCCCTGAGGATAGAAAATATTAGGACTATAGCATGTAGCCCTATGAGTTATATTAAATATAACGCAACCGAGCGAGCAAGGGGAAGCCCGGGCAACAAAGTTCATACGGATTGGTCCATGCAGCTTGGTTACTTCTTACGGTCAGCGGTGGATTGTAGAGGGTTTGGTAAGAAACATTCTGGACGATTGGATGGGACGGAAAATCGAGGTCCTGATAACATTGACAGCACGTTAACTATCCCCGGATAGGTGGACATCGATGTAATTCAAGGCCGTAGCGCAGCAGCTGCCCGGGCAATCAACCCCACCCCACGCCCATCCTCCGCACTCCTGGTCCCGGTTTTACAAAGCATTATCACACTTAAACAACTTCAAATCACTGTTTATGAGAAATATCTTTGGTCAAGAAATACATATATTTTCACAGTTTCTTATTCAATAAATTAAACAGAAATTTGATAAAGGACTATATTTTAGTTAAAATAAAGCGAACAATTTTAAGTAAATTCTGAAGTCTTGAGAATGCGTTGTGAAGGGTCGGGTGACGAATACCGAGTTGTTTCAGTGAAGTAAGACCCTAAATATCATTTCATTCGCATCTCTACAAAATCTATAGAACACGATATTATATAATAATCCTCCCTAGCATAACTATGGAATGTCCAACAGAAAGCTTTATCCAAATATATAGAAATGAAATGAAATGGGGTTTAACGTCCTACTGTTCTGCTCCTAAACTGGGCCAATGAAGACAGGCATACGCCATACAGTGTGTTATGAGGGAAATTTTGCCCGGGCAGCGGCGCTACGGCCTACTCTTATATCGAATTCCAACTGCCAATAAGGTATCTTTTACGTGCACGCCAATGTGTTCACGGGACCTCAGTTTTTCGTCCCATCCGAACTATTAGATAGCTGTCCTTGTCAGGCCCTCCGTCCTGCATCACTGACAAGGGGGAACCACGCCGGAAAATTCGGATGAACTTTCTCGGCCAATGCAGGGATCGAACACCCGACCTCAAGGCTAGCGAGCCAACGTCCTACCCACTTAGCCACGTGATCCCCCAAATATATAGAATACCAATCTGATTAAAACACAGATCCTATTTCATTTCATTTTTTTATAGTTCAATTTTTTTTTTTACTTGTCTTTACTACACGAAGATCTGGAAGAGTTGTTATATAACCTGCGTTCTGTGTGATGTGCGAGATTAGCCAATGCAACTGTCTGTTGCGGCGAGTTCTTGGCGTGAGGTGCATGGAACTGTCGGTATCCCACTAGATACATCAACGCTGGTTAATTAATCATGTCCCAGGGTCAAAAGCCGCTCTATGACCCCTGACGCGACCTCCCACTACAACCGGTCAGATATGCATGTAGTGAAGGCCATCGAAAGTATAAGAAAACGAAACGAAATATAGATCTGTATTTTAATCAGAATGACAGAATACTGCATTAGTATTTTCTTATCGGAATCTTCACAAATCTGTAGTAAACATACTCCTCGCAGTGTTTCGTTTGATTAGAGCTAATCCCACTACTCACTGCTGTAAAGAAAGCAAATTCTTGTTCTAAATTATGACTGGTCAATAGTCCGATTAACAACCAATAGCTAACTGCGTAACAATACCAAACAGATCTCCAAATTGGACCAAATGTGTTTACATAACGTTACGTCATGACTTATGCAAGATTTTATTATGCCCAATTAACCAGTGCATAGCAGAATATTGCAGAAAAACTAATTGTGTGACAAACGAGGCTATCAACACTTTCACCGTTTTTAATACCTAGACCGGGAGCCCAGGGGGTCAACCTAGCTGAAAAGTGTACCAATTTTCTCCTATATGGTATCGATGTATGTATATCTGTTATCATTAGAATGTAAGTCTGCCGGGTTTCTTGTGGTGGGTGTGGTATTCAACGCCCTAAATGCCATGACCCCCAAACTAGGCTAGATTAGCTCAAAAGTGTACCAAATGAAAATCGTACATCTTCAGGTATTACAAAAACACTCTGACAGACATTTCTAGTGGTGGGGTACCCCTGACAGAGCTATGTAATTGCCAGACATTTGTAGTGGTGGAGTATCCCTGACAAGAGTTATCTAATATTATGACCAAAGCTAGGCTAGATTAGCTCAAATCTGTACCACCTAAAACAGCTTTGGAGTTGTTCAGTACCACCACAGGAGTCATGAATGACCACTGACAGACAGTTTGTGCGGTGGGTTACCCCTAACAGACACGCCCCAAAATGCCACGCCCTCAACTAGGCTAACTTCGCAAGCGCTGTTCCCGTGTTTTAGAAAATTAAATTTTTAGCCAGGATGCGTAGAATACTAATACCTAGCACGTATGGAAGAGGCGATAAACTGCAGTTGCAAGAAATTGATTTTTGGGAAAAAAACATTTTATGGGGCTAAAAATGCGTTTTTGAAAAAAAAAATTGTTCCTGCAACCGCAGTTTATCGCCTCTTCAATACGTGCTAGGTATTAGTAATCTACGCATCCTGGAACAGTTTTTAAATTTTTGGACCACGGGAACAGTGCCGGCTAATCTATCCTAGTTGGAGGGCGTGGCATTTTGGGCGTGTCTATTAGGGGTTACCCACCGCACAAACTGTCTGGCAGTGGTCATTCATGATTCCTCTCGTGATACTGAACAACTCCAAAGCTGTTTTAGGTGGTACAGATTTGAGCTAATCTAGCCTAGCTTTGGTCTGGAAATTAGATAACTCTTGTCAGGGATACTCCATCACTACAAATGTCTGGCAATTACATAGCTCTGTCAGGGGTACCCCACCACTAGAAATGTCTGTCAGAGTGTTTTTGTAATACCTGAAGATGTACGGTACATTGCTGTGCGATTTTCATGTGGTATACTATTGAGCTAATCTAGACTAGTTGGGGGGCATGGCATTTTGTGCGTGGAATACCACACCCACCACCAGAAACCCGGCAGACTTACATTCTGATGATACCAGATATACATACATTGATACCATCAAGGAGAAAATTGGTACACTTTTCAGCTAGGTTAACCCCCTGGGCTCCCGCTCTATAAATCACTTTCCAAAGTTTTAGGGAAGGCCCCTGATTAAAAGAAGGGCTGTCATGTTGCTGTGCTTGGGGATAGATTCGATTGAACTGGAAGAATAGACACTCCCTCCAAAGCGCAAGTATCAGAAGCTAATCCAGCAATGGCCAGAGAGGGATTTCTCGGGCCATTGCTTCAGGAATATGGTAGTAAAGGACATGGTATTAACCCTAACGAAACTGTAGACAACTCGGTAAAAGGTATTTCCTGCATACCCCGAAAATTCGGTAGAAAACAAAAACGGATGGCCGTCTAATTTTCAAGACGTTTTCCCCATCCGCTGATTCTAGGACGGAAATTTTTTCGGGCAAATCATCTCTGCCCCACCCAAACGCCTATATATGGTCATCATAGATTGATGTACCCCCCACCCCACACACATTGCCTACAATGACATTCCAGGGTTAGGACTGGAGTTGATTCACATGACCACAACATCCACGATTCCATCTCGGTTTTTGCAGATAAAGTTTCATGGGTTTCCCCCTCGTCAATGATGCAGGACTAGGGGCCCGGCAAAGAAACGTATAATTGTTCGGATATGGCGAAAACCGGGGTCCCGCGTACACGTAAAAGAGCCCTTGGCCGTTAGATGTAACAGTAGGCGGTAGTACCGCTGTCCGGATAAAATATCCCAAATAGCACACTGCATGACGTACAATGCTCTTCATTGGTATGGTTGATGCAGGACGTTAAACCCCATTTCATTTCATTTAGGACTAGGAACATGGTCATACAGTATAATAAACTATCGGGTATAAAATAGTTGACAGAGCTAAATGATCTTGAAACCTCAACACCGCCAGCAGATTACAATGGGCAAGACATGTATGCCGATATCAGCGGCGTGATTGCCTATTTGTGCTCTTCACAGATGAAAGTCGCCGTCGATGGAAGGGACTGGCACCAAACTGCACTCAAGATGACCATCATAATGCGAGAACAAGGCTTGTTACCATCCGTGGAAACCTGACTGGCCAAAGAAACATGAAGTTCTGCAACCTGTGGCAGTGCCATTCATGCAACAGCAACACAGGGTCACCATTTTGCAGCATGTTAATGCCCGATCATATACCGCCAGACCGGTTCGTGATTAATTTTAGTTAACGTGAATCCAATAGTGCACCTCTGGGATCATCTTGATTGGCAAATGAGGCAACGGACACCTCCTCCAGCAACCGACATCAGCTTGAGCAAGCTTTATTGCAAGAATGGCAAAGGATTCCCATTGGCGTTATAAGACGACTGACAACGCCCAAGGGGGACGCATTTTGGCACGTATCGATCGATGCCCACGGCGGCCACACAGGTGTGTCAAATTATCAGACTGCATAAGGACTTATTCGAGGGCTTCTCCTGGACTCGTAATTATTTATCTAGACCCCATTGATCTTTAACCCTGACTTATGGCCCGTAGACTATTGTTAATGTTTTTGGATTTTGTTCCCGACATCAGAAACTTATTCCTCTCAATAAAATATTCATCTTTTTTATGGAACATGTATACCGAGTGTCGGCTTCTTTTTGCAAGATAGTTTATTTACCAGGATGGGGAAGGCAGTTTACAGCAACCACAGGTCAAGTCTGAAGTATTATAATACAATGTTTACCCATGGTTAGGCAATATATATTCACATATATATATTTTTTTTTTTTTATAAGGAAACACCAAACAAAAGAAGTAGAGCACTTTTTACTGCAATATTTCAAAGTTTAACATCAAATTTCACGTATTTAACAATCACTAATCTTAATAGGTTTTCAGTTTCTTGAATGATTAAAAAGGAAATCACGTGGAAAATAAATAAAAACGTCAGACTCAAGTAGGGTCACTTCTTCGCCTTTTTAGTTAATGTTTTCTTGGCCTACAATAGAAAATATAAAACTGAAATTAACTCGTCTAAAATTGTGAATAAGGTGAATTATATGAGACAACCGATTCAGTTCTACCTTTCTGCACCAAACAGGCTAATGTGGCCGTGAGGTCCGTCAGATATTACAAGTCTGGAATGGTTTTTCAAATCTTTAATTACTGGAAACTTATAATTAATAATAACTACATACACTTACAGGACCGCAAATAACCGACTAGTACCTTATGCTATTAAGTCGGATAGACCTAAAAGACTGATAAGAAATAATCCGCGAAAACATCAAACATGCCAGAGCTAAATCTGCCTATTGCAGGTCTTTAGTCCTGAAAATGTTTGATTTATTAATTTGATATTAATTAACTTATCCATACCATAATCAACTCGATGCCATCGTTAGTCTGCGATATTTAGTGGATTTGAATACATTTTGCGATGGGTATTTAACGTAAAAATGGACAATCGAGACTGTTTATTATCTTATCAACGTTAGTAATGACGACCAAAGCTAGCCTAAAATTGAATCAGTAATATCTCGGTTCAGAGTGAAGCAATTTGACTGATATTTTCATCATATTCTGTTTTCATTATGTATTTTTCAAGAACTTTCAGGTCTTTTATTTAATCTTACCTAATGCCCCTTTAAGATATCGAGATATTGTCCATTAGACCAGGGAAGATCGCACGTTTACCAAGAAGTTATTTTTTAATTTAGTTATTTGTGCTTGACTAAATAAATAGGACACTGCTTTCTTTTATATCTAGGTCTTATTCAAATATAGTAGTATAGATAATACAGTCTTCCTTCACATTATCCGTATATATAAAGAGAGAAATGGGGTTTTAACGTCCACTCGACACAAACTAGGTTATTTCGGGACTAACATATGGTTTAATTTTATTTCAATAATTCGCTTGCGCGTAAGGGTCTTTAGCAGTGGGAAACCGGAGGACCCGGAGAAAACCCACGAGGTTGGACAGGCGACCCTACTCCTTGTCATGTACAACTGGGGATTCGAAACCACGCCAGTTGACTCAATGATAGACTTTATGATACAGCGCGCACGTGCTAACCATTCGGCCATCCACCCCCCCACCCCCCCCACCCTCCGTATATATAAAGCGTGGGGCCTTTCTTCGATAGACACTATATTATGTCAAAAGGTATTTTACGTTACCTTAATCACTGTCAAATGATTTAACAGACTTTCAGGATTTCTCAAGTCATGTTACGTACGGGAATCTGTTGGGAAGGGGATTCTATACTGGCATTCATTGTTCTGAAATGAAATGGGGTTTAATGTCCTGACAGCGGCACTACGGTCGACTCTTATGTCAAGGGATCTTTTACGTGCACGCCAATGTGTACACGGGACATCGGTTTTTCGTCCCATCCGAACGACTAGACAGCTGTCCTTGTCAGGCCCTCCCGTCCTGCATCACTGACATGGGGGAACCACGCCGGAAAATCTGGATCAACTTTCTCAGCCAATGCCAGGGATCGAACACCGGAGTTCCAGTCTAGCGAGCCAGCGTCTTACCCACCGTGTACCCCATTCATTGTTCTACCACAGGAACCACAAATATAAACATAATACACACCTTTGGTTTTTCAGTCTTTTTTGCTGCAGCTTTGGATTTTACGTTCTGCAAGAAAAACAAGCCAACAGTGAGGCTGATGTCCCCCGCCGAAATAGCAAAATAATTAGATGACACATATTAATTAATAGAACATTTATTTTTTTCAAAAGTATCGAACAGTTAAACTATAGACTAAGTTTCATCACTGTCTATCAAATAGAATCAAGATTATGAAACTGATAAGCTCTGCTTGGCTTCAGCTCGAAATGTTAATCATTGAACTTAGTCAAGACATTCACCTAATGAACATCTACATCAAGTTTAAACATTCTACCTCAATTAAAAGCAGAGTTATTATGTTCCAAAGTCTTGACCAATCAATTAAATTGCTTATTGCTCCTTAGCCTTAGCAGAAAATTTTCACCATCGAACTTAGTCAAGGTAATGATATAATGAATCTATATTCGGAGTTTCATCTCTCTCAAAGTTATCATGCCCCAAAGCATCAACCAATCAGATTGCTTATCTCTGCTTACCGTAAGCCTACAATGTTCATCATTGAACTCCATCAAGGCATTCACCTAATGAAAGCCTACACCAAGTTTGAACATTCTACATCAATTAGAATGTGAATTATTGTGTTCCAATGTCTCAACCAATCAAATTGCTTATCGCTCTGCTTAGCCTGAGTAGAAAATGCTCAAGATTGAACTTAGTCAAGGTATTGATGTAATGAAACTATACACCAAGTTTCATCAATCTCACTTAATTAGAACTAAAGTTATCGTGTCCCAAAGCATCAACCAATCAAATTGCTTATCTCTGCTTACCCTAAGCGGAAAATGCTCATCTTCGAACTCCATCAAGGCATTGACCTAATCAACACATACACCAAGTTTGAACATTCTAGCTCAATTAGGCAGAGAGTTATCGTGCCCCAAAGTATCAACCAATCAAATTGCTTATCTCTGCTTACCCTAAGCGGAAAATGCTCATCTTCGAACTCCATCAAGGCATTGACCTAATAAACACATACACCAAGTTTGAACATTCTAGCTCAATTAAAAGTTATCGTGTCCCAAAGCATCAACCAATCAAATTGCTTATCTCTGCTTACCCTAAGCGGAAAATGCTCATCTTCGAACTCCATCAAGGCATTGACCTAATCAACACATACACCAAGTTTGAACATTCTAGCCCAATTAGGAAGAGAGTTATCGTGTCCCAAAGCATCAACCAATCAAATTGCTTATCTCTGCTTACCCTAAGCAGAAAATGCTCATCTTCGAACTCCATCAAGGCATTGACCTAATAAACACATACACCAAGTTTGAACATTCTAGCTCAATTAGGAAGAGAGTTATTGTGTCCCAAAAAGTGTGACGGACAGACAGACGGACAGACAGACGGGACAGACAGACGGACAGACAGACAGACAGACAGACAGACAGACGGACGAACCCATTTTAATAGTCCCCTGCTTTCTTCGAAAGGCGGGGGACAAAAATGCGTCTTCGCATAAAATATTCTCATTACAATAGTTAATGGACAGAGGATACACTCGCACGTTTAGGGAAATTTTACGAAATCGAACTGCCTTGGGCTTTTTATTATTGGAATAGTTTTTGGGCCAGGTTTGATTAATATAAAAATTGCTTTTCGTTGTTTTTTTGATTAAAATTGTATTTAACTGTAGTTTTGGCATGGTGGAGCTCAAGTGTAAAAATAGGCCCTTTACATAAGTACCAGAACAAACCGATCAAAAGCCTATCTGAATTAACACTTAGGACAAGTCAGTGGTATATTCGGGCAGACCGGTATCATCAAATTGTATTTACCATTTTATTGGGTTTGAAGTTCTTTCAAAGAGTATACCCGACATAGATCAGAATATCCGCGATATTTGTCCGCGACAAGAAAGCTCTACCCAACTTAACGGTATCAAATGACTTTTGTAAATAGAAATCAGACTTACCTTTTTCTTAGGTTTTTTCCTAGAATTAAAAAATACAAATGCATAAATTAGTTCGAAAAAAAAAGAAAACATGAACGAACGTATACAATATATTGTATAATCACTTATTATATAGATGGCAAAAAAAACACCCATATGCTTTTTAAAATGCTTGTAAGCAAATCGAGGAACTCACTTTTCTGGAGTTGGATCATCTTCATCGTCGTCATCCATTTCTTCCTCGTCGTCATCATCTTCCTCCTCCTCGTCATCGTCGTCCTAGGTGAAAAGGAAAAATGCTAACTATCGGACCATTGTATTACAAATCAATACAGACAACCAAGTTTTAAAATAAACTAATCCGACTTCTAAATGTAAACCGACATATTGTTACATAAAGGCTATGCTATGAGCATATTTGGGAGCCACGGTGGCTAGTTGGTTAAGGCGCTGGCTCGCTAGCCTGACGGTCGGGTGTTCGATCCCTGCATTGGCCGAGAAAGTTCGAGATTTTCCGACGTGGTTTCCCTTGTCAGTGGTGCAGAACGGAGGGCCTGACAAGGACAGCTGTCTAGTCCTGATAATACGAAAAACCGAGGTCCCGTGTATACATTGGAATGCACGTAAAAGATCCCTTGGCAGTTGGAATTCGATGAAGAGTAAGCGATAGTGCCGCTGCGCGGGCAAAATTTCCTTCATAGCACACAGTATGGCGTATGCCCGTCTTCATTAGCCCAGTTCGGAGCAGAACAGTAGGACGTTAAACCCCATTTCATTTCATTTCATGAGCATATTAAACCCATCAGCCATTGGAAATGAAATGGGGGATGGGGATGGGGTACTCTTCGTCCTCAATTGGGACTAAGAGGTACATATGCGATGCAGTTGCTATGAGGAATTTTAGGTGCACGCGAACTTGCACACAGGGGCCTCTTTTTTTTTTCTATCGTCCTGCACAACTGGCAAGGGGATTCGTAAAAATCTCGAGGATCGAACCCTGGACCACATGGTTAGTGTGCCAGCGAACCAAGTCACTGGCGCCTCCAGTTACTTTAGTAAAATGCCGATTGTTATCTTCCCCAGGGCCCGGTTCCCGTGTAAGGCTTATTAAGAATTTTTTAGGAATGTTATGACGTGATCCAAGATTTCATATCACAACTTTACTGCTATTGTGAATAAGATTATATTTAGCTAGGATTAAGTATATTTAGCTAGGATTAAGTATATTTAGCTAGGATTAAGTATAACTAAGCATGTCTTAAAAGCTTAGTCCATGGTCGTTTGAGTTAAACATTCATTACATCTTAAGTAGGAAGTCACACACAAGACAATGCTCAGACTTCTGATTAGCCGAGAATCGTCCTTGGTAGCCAATGAAAATACAAAGATTAAGAATGCTCAAAAGTGTTAAAAAGGGTATAAAATAATGCCCGGGATGAATGAACGTTTCAGATATTTGTATTAAGTGCTAAACGTCATGCGCTCAATACACGCAAGTTGTCAACCCCCACTTTGCTAGCAAAGGTTTTGAAGTCCTAAGACGGATATGTCAAACAATAGCATTTTTATAATTTATTCAAATTTCGTTATTGATTTATGAAAGGCGGTTTACGTAAATACATTAAAGATGTACATTATGGGAGATTACATAAAGAGCTGGCAGTTCTCGCTATAATAGTTAACCAGCGGCTGCCAGGCAGAATACGCCCACATTTTCGAGAGATGGATAGAGAACAAGCTAAAAATAAAGTGATTTTTCCTACAATCAACGGCCATAATTCAGGAAATTACAATTCGATATGCGCAAATATCGAAAGGAACTGAAATCTTTGGGTTATAAACTTACATTTCAAGTTTCAACAAAATCGGATAAAAATTGTGACTTTTATAGGGTCCACATCCTTGATATACCATATTTTTACGCTATTTGAGAACGAACGGCGGCCGTTTTGTCTGTCAATTTTGGGCCGATTTTCACGAAATTCGAACTCAGTCGTCCTTATGGTGTAACAGTGATATAATTATACGTTTTTTTAAATCGGATAAAAATTATGACCTCTATAGGGTCCATAAGCTAAAAACACGATTTTTCGTACAATCTGGGGCCATAATTCAGGAAGTTACAGTCCGATATGCGCAAATATCGAAAGGAACCGAGATCTTTGGGTTATGAACTTACATTTCTAGTTTCAACAAAATTGGATAAAAATTGTGACCTCTATAGGGTCCACAACCTTGATATACCATATTTTTATGCTATTTGAGAATGAACGGCGGCCATTTTGTCTGTCAATTTTGGGCCGATTTTCACGAAATTCGAACTCACTCGTCCTTATGGTGTAACAGTGATATAATAATACGTTTTTTTATATCGGATAAAAATTTTGACCTCTATAGGGTCCACAAGGAACCGAGATCTTTGGGTTATAAACTTACATTTCAAGTTTCAACAAAATCGGATAAAAATTGTGACCTCTATAGGGTCCACAAGCCAAAAACGTGATTTTTCGTACAAACAGGGGCCATTATCCATGAAGTTTCGATCCGATACATGCCAATATCGAAAGCAGTCGAGATCTTTTGGAGATACACCTATATTTCAAGTTTCGTTAAAATCGGATAAGAATTGTGACCTGTAGAGTGTCCACAAACAAATTGTGGCCGGACGGACAGGGGCGACGGCATAATACGTCCACATGAAAATGTGGGCGTATAAAAACTAGATAATGTAAAGGGAATTTGCTGATAATTTTAGTCAAATTGATTCACTCTGAGCAGCAGATTGGATTCTAATTCAGTAAACATCGCAGGCTAGCGACGACATCAAGAGTTGATTATGGTCTTATGTTAATGTTTAATTGATTTATATAACATTTCAGGCCTAAAGAAAGACCTGCAATGGGCAGATTTAGCTCTTGCATAACGTGTGTTTAAGAAAACAAATGCACCGAGAGACGGCACTGAAGAAATCAACTATATCAGTTAGTGCACATAGAGGGTCAATGAATCTAACAAGTGTGGGGCAAAATATTAACAAGCTTGTACCATACCTCCTCACTGTCTTCATCTGAAGCTCCATCGGCACTCGCTTCCATCTTACTTCTCTGCTGACAAAATAAAACCAGGTTATGTGTATTAAATATCGGGCATCTAAATATGCACTTCAAGAAACAATTGGAATACGGTTCGCGCACAATATGTTATATTAGGGTAGATGACGGAGTTGACAGGGGATCTAAAGGCGAAAACCCAGGGTAGAATAAACACCAATTACACTGCCCTGTGACTCTTGGGCTTAGATGCAACAACAGTGTTGATTGAAATGAGGTTTAACGTCCTACTTTTCTGCACTGATTGGACTAATAAAGACGGCCATATGTGATGTAGGGCAAATTTTGCCAGGGCATCAGCACTACGACCTATTATTTCGAATTCCAACTGTCCCATCCGAACGCCTAGACACTCATTGTCAGGATCTCCGTCCAGCACCACTAGCCAAGGGGTAAAATCGCAGGGAAATTTCGAGGGACTGAAAGCGAACTAGGGACTTTCTGGTTAATGAGCCAGCGTCTTACTGAGCCACCACTGTACCCTTTGCAAAAACAGTTTCGTGAACTCAAATCTACCTTAGCTTTACTAGCTCCAGACTGAGCCCCTCCTTTTCTTTTGGCCTTCAATATGGGTTTCTCCGGCGTTTCTTCGTCTTCTTCCTCCGTGAAACCTTCCTCATCCATGGTTTGATTACCTTCATCAGGAAATTCTAAATAAAACGTTATAAACAAAATAATGAAACTGACATACATACCAATAGTTAAATGAAGTCTGCGATATCACCCTCGATGGAAGCGGACGTCAAGCCCCACGAATGCACTAAATCTAGAACTGGTCTTGCTTTCTACTAAGATTTGGGTCCCAGAAAATTCTGCACAACGGATGATATACTAATAGTATTTATTTATATCAGATCCAAAATGCAGCATCACAGCTATTGTTATTGCACGATGTTGTGCCAGAGCAGCACAAAGTTGCAGACTGCTGAAGTAGACTGTATGGTTTTACATGGTTGAAGGCAGGCGTCGGCTCCACGTAATTAACGTTTCCTTTGTTGGATATTTCCTTGCTGCCGATTCCATCCAAGGATCTACGGGGCTGAGCTATATGTAACTTATACCAAGCTCTTTTTCGTTAACTAAGTTAACCAACTTTAACTCCACTGTCTCGGAAATGAAATGGAGTTTAACGTCCTAGACAGCTCTCCTTGTCAGGCCCTCCGTCCTGCATCACTGACAAGGGGCAAACCACACCGGAAAATCTGGATGAACTTTCTCGGCCAATGCAGGGATCGAACACCCGACCTCCAGGCTAGCGAGCCAGCGTCTTAGCCACCGTCACCCCCCCACACACACAGTCTCGGTATTATAACTATTATATACAATATCATATGTGAATAGTAGGCAAATATATACAGAATATGCAACAAAGATAAGAATCAAATACAATATTTTGTTTATTTCTTATTATTTTTTCTTTACACCTGCATCAGCGATCACTCTTGTTCACTAATACTCCCACACAAACACACTTCTCTTTATATTATTTATCTATAGCTCAGGTTAATTGGTTTCCCATTACTAGTGTTAATACATTGATCTTTATAAACAGGATTCCCCTCTTTTTAATCCCTGTAGAGTTTCCGTTGTGTAGGTTTTAGTTGTAAATGGCCCCCTAATCAAAGGTGTTAAGATTTAATTGTATTTCATTCTTATCTTTGTTGCATATTCTGTATATATTTGCCTACTTTTCACATACCTGTATCATTTGCTTGATCAAGACGAGGGTATTCTCGTCGAAACGTCGCTTAGTATAAACTCAGTAATTGTGTATCCATAAAATTGTACCTTGTGTTTTCACATTAAAATATGTTCAATTACTAAATGCCAATCAAAGATTATATACTTTTAATCTGACCACCAAAATTTCTCTTTGGATTATATATTTAGGCATAACCATAAGCCAGGGCTGTGGCTGTTTCAATTAGATCAAGTTTTGTGATTACCTAATGCTAGGAAATCCCCGAGTATTAATTACTTCTGGTTCATGCCTCCCGTCCTCGGTTAACTTACCTACTAACTGGACAGCTGATATATAGATAGGACCAGATCCGTCTACTAATGTAAACGTAACTGGAAATTTATCAGTAAAAGAAACATCTAAATAACACTGAAAATATATCAAAGTTATCAACGGCTATATTTTCTCGTCAATAAGTTTGTGAAGCCTAACATTCTAGTGCAAGTTGAAAGACTTCCAGTAAGGATTCGAGCATAATACAAGTTCCTGCTGCATAGGGCATTTTTGACAATTGATGATGCTAGTGTAATAAGTTAGACAAGTGCCATTGTTTTTAAATAAGATTTGATGGTTTACAAATATATCCATTTTAGCAGTTTCTCTTAGGATGTTCATTTTTATTTTATTATATTTATCACAGTATGTTAGTTTTAGTTTTCTGGTTTAAAAATATGCAAAAATACTATTTTTGGCAAATTGTGTGAAATGGTACTTGTCCACCTTATTACACTAGCATCCTCAATTATCACAGAACCTTTTAACCATAACAATTATCACAGGCTTAAATGATTTTCCCCCCCCGAGTGTAAAATACAAGACTCGATCAGAAACCTCTTGACATAGGGTCAATTCAAGCCTAGGGTTAAGACTGTGTTTAAGTGGTGTATTCCTGGTGTAAATTTGAATTCCTTAACCAAAGCTTCAATTTAACACAAATGTTTACACCAGTGTATTTTTAAAACTTCAACTTTCAATTTTGTCTACTGTCCTATAAACATTCAATTTGTTTCTGATTACTATCATACATAGAGACAATTATGTGTACGCTTGATACATAAAGCTAAGCAAGATATAGTCTAATCAACTCGACCACTTCTTTTGGTGAATTTGCTTTTGGGTATAAATCACTGCAAAAATGGGATTTGAACATCGGAAAGGAATTATAACGCATTATTTTATATAAACTAAATTTGAAAGCCTTAAAAAATATTTCAATTTTTGGTATCAGTCAAAACCAGTGTGGTAACAAATATATAACTTGGAACTGAAGAATTATTTAACCCTTGGGGTTAGTGTTTGGATTAATTTTTAATTTGTTTTTTTACAAGATATTTTTCATCAAGCTATTATCAATGAAGTTTAATTTAGACAGAAAAAATATTCCACGACGTCTGATTATTTTTTTCATGAAGATTTTTCGTAAATTTAAAAATTGGGATTGAAAATATATGTATATTCAAAGTGAAGAGCTCTGGTAGAAATTAGTGTTTGGGTAACACAGATGAGACTAGTGTTCACATGGTCTAATTATATCGAATTTTAACACAACCTCCATTACTACAGACTTTAACTGGGGTGATTTCTTGATGATTTTCATACCAATGCAATGACTGCATTCTCATTCAGTAGTGGATTCGACAGTAACAGTGTATAGAAAACGATTGACTCGGACTCGGTGACCCTTTCCCTTGGCCAGAGGGGCCCTTTTGTCTGCATTTAGGGCCCTCTCTAGGGTACATTTTCATTTTTCTCATCGGTTTTAGCATTTTTCTCCGGTTTTATTTTTTCATCTTTGAATTTTTTTTGCAAGGAGGCTGGCGCCTCCAGCGCCTCAGCTATAAAACGCTTTTGGTTTAAAGTTGACTTAGCACAGGTAAGACCAGTGCCTCACTGGGCAAATTCATGGTGTTAAAACACGGAACATGAAGTGACCCATTATATAAGAATTATAATCTGAGAAATTTCAAATCATAATGTGTTGTCCCGGAACAAAGTTCATAAATGTAGCTTTAACACTAATGAGATGCCACTTCAATTACCCCCCGCCCTTTACTTCAAACGGCGCTAAACACTGTTACCACTTACCATACGGCTTTCTTGAATTATTGATTTTATTATGTACACTGGTTTTATGATTAGTAGCATGACACCCGGCTTCGCCTGGAGGACCAAATTCGACGGGGTCCATGCTGCTAAATCTGATACATGTGGGGGCGGAGAGCGGCGACGAAGTGTGATTCGCCCGGGCCCAATTCCCACGGCACCCAAATTAGATGGTCTAAAACATTCAAGGGGCTATGCTGGTTCATTTGATACCACAATAATAACTTTGATGTAAATGGCGTTCCGTGTCCTGATGTATACCCATGAAATACCAGCCTTAAATTCAATGGCTAATATCTCGGTTCAGAGTGCAGCAATCTGAAATTTTAAGTATATTTTGTTTTCATTATTTTTTTTAACTATTATAGCGAGAACTGTCAGCTCTTTATCTAATCTTACCTGACGCCCCTTTAATGTGTTTTTCAATCGCTAAATGCTACTATATACAAACCTATCAAATTAGTAAAGTATCATGATAACTAATATTTCAACGGATCGGAGGATTGATCTATATATCTAACTTACCATACTGCTTTCTCCTCTAGTTAATGATATAAAGGGTTGTTTTATTTCTTCATTATCGTAGTTTTTAGTTTGAACTTGAACAATATTTACTTCGTCTTTCACGGCTTGTGCGCCAAGTACAGCCTGTAAGGTTGAATTTTAATTAATTTTGTGCCTTTTCAAAACTAAAGGAGTAGGCTAGGATAAGGTTTTGGTAAAAACGGCTTTAAGCATTTATGTAAGAAAAAAAAACTATCCAAATTTCAACTATATTTGCAATTTTGATCACCATATATGGATTTTGGTCTAGTACTAAGTGTTATATAACCACTTTTCAGATCCTTAAATTACCCAAACGAAATTCTGAATAGCTATAATATCCAGAACGGGCCCACAACACATTAGGATGACCTATACCAACATGCTAGATTTATGTATTTTGAAGCATTTCCATAAAGTTATAAAGTACCTTTGGCAGTTATAAATTAACGAAGTAGAGTAAATAATTACATTAGTCCAGGGCAGCGTATGTATCATTTTCCTCCGACAATATTTCAAAGCACTTATTTACAATTCCACTTTTTTTTTCATATCCTGAATGAAGATGACATACGCCATCGATCAACGGCTTTTCCATCAGCTCTTAAGAAATTTTATCTCCCATGAAGGGTTCTTTTGTAGAGAGAAAAATGGGGTTTAACGCCCACTCTACACAAACTAGGTCATTCCGGGACTAACATATGGTTCAATTTTATTTCATTAATTCGTTTGGGCGTAGGGGTCTTTAGCAGTGGGAGGAAACCGGAAGACCCGGAGAAAACCCACGAGGCTGGAGTTCTTTAGAGGGCCAGGTCCATACTGATCCACTTCCGGGTGGTGTGATTTTTATAATCGTCCACAATGTATACATACATGTTTGATGAATAAAGTATGCTGCATAAAATCTGTATCTTCATCTTCCTCTTGAATTGACCACGTTACAGATTGTCGTTCTTTACTCAATTCACATCCTTCAAAAACATAACTTAATTCATTTGATAGTGTACCTAATTTCAAAGTTGCTAGGAGAATATCATACAAAAAATATCAAATTTTTAAACAAGACGATTAAAGAAACAAAATTCGAGACACCATTTCATATACAAATGCAAAAAGACGAGTATGATATTTTATTTATGAACCAATTTCAATGGAGAAAAAAAATTTTGTCTCGTTCAGTGGATTTATATTAATTAGTGCCTAGCAGCAATGTATATGTGGTTAAGTGTGACTGATCGTATAACCAGGGAGGTTTTGAGCAATGGTCCGATATGGCACCTATCGGTTTAACCGATATCAGATATTGACCGCGAAATATATCGGCCGATACAGATACCGATACTGGTGGACATAAATATAAAACTATTATACATTAAAATGTCCAGATAATCTATGTAGATATTTGTCATTGTTAGTCGGGAAACGCATGGTACTATTTTACCACGGGAATCAAACACGAACGTGGTGTTTTTGAAGTAATAATTGGGTCACGCTTCCTATGCAAAGATACACACCATATATTATGAACTTAATTATTTGCTGTATCATTAATAAAGTCGAGATTATCATATTTTAAGTGTTGATTACGATATAATTCCATACAGTGATCGGCACGGACGGCACCTGCATGTCTATAAAAGTTCATGCGGTAATGAATGATACATCAAAGCGACAGCTTCCTGACCTGTCTGTCAAAAGTGGCAATCACGTGACATTCTCCCGCCATTTCTAAATCTAAAATAAAACATCTAATATGGGAACTTATTTGTTGGTAATATTAGTTAATAAAGTATGATCTATATTATCAGTTATTTGTTGATACAAATTATGTAAAAATTTCAAGTAGCCTAGCATAATGCAAATCACTAAATTATCTCTAAATTTTATCAGCATCTAGAAGCCGGACTGTCCCGACAGTAATCACGTGACATCATAGGGATATCCCCCCCCCCACTTTCATCCTTCATTCACGCGTAAACCATGTGTGATATTTTCCCGCCTTTTCCAAAAGTTTTACCCAATCCCATTCAGACAACCTGAATAAAAATATTGTTTAAAAAAAAATATATCAGCACGCATTAAAAACAGGTCAAGTTTTATCGGGTGGACTGTCGTACGTTAATGTCTGTCTGCACGTGCGCAGAAATGTTATTCTCAAAAACAGCATTGAGAGACCCGAACTCTCAGTGTGTGAATAAGAATTTTAAAGATGAGTTCCCGCGTACAAACTGGGTGATTTAATGGTATATATGGACTAAAAACATATTTTAAACTAATTAATTTGTCATAACTTTGCTTCAAATCCTTCTCAAACATTGTAATTGCTAAGGAATGTCCTGCTATAAAAATTCGATCAAACCAGGTCATGTTTACGTCACGTGACTTACCTCTCTTGGAAGTCAGAGGAGAATTCATTGCATACATAAGACGATGCTGTCTTTAATCGCTTACTATTTATTACAAATATCGAATCCTAATTAAATTCTCGGATTATCCACTACCCGCGTCTTTTTCCGTCATTTTTATCTCAGAAAGTGTTGAACGTCTAACTCTTCGTAAAGTTTATCAACTTGTACATCAAGCGCTCAATGTTCGCGTGTGACCTTTGACATCACGCGTGCAGAAATTCCAAATCATCGGGCTGTTGATTAGGGGAATCCTTACATTTTTGTCCTGTATACGCTCCATGAGTGTTATTCAGGGAATCTAGTAAGATTGGATATCTCTACTTTCCATATATACCAAAATTACCATACTTTTATTGGAAATTACCACCCGATAAATACTTTTCTGGGAACCCATCTTTAAAAAAAACAACGGCGACAGGTAAGGATTTTGACTGTTTATTCTTTCCTATCAGGTTCTTATATTAGCATCGCGCACGGCAACCGAAACATGAAACTTATTTCGGTTGCCGTGCGCGTGGCAATTTGGATAAAGGACATCGGTAAGTATTTTGTACTGTTTATATATTCCCTTTTTACGGCCCGTATGAGAGTCGTGTGTTACCAGTACGTCTAAATAGCAACTTTTATTTCGGTTGCCGTGCTCGTGGCTTCTTGGACATACCCTGTGTCAAGCAAAATAATGATTTGTTTACAACTCGGATAATATTTTAAAGGTATTTACCGAGTCGTTTTGAACAGATATCGTCAACTCCAGTATTGGCAAAATGGCCGTGTATCGGCCGATGCCGATTTCTCCCCATAGGCCACTTATCGGCTAATTACCGATGTTGAAACCGATTACCGGACCATCACTAGGTTCTGTCCTGTGGTGTTTGGATTTTAAAAGGGACCATCCCCAATTTAACAGTCTTAGAAATATAGAGGAATGGGGTATTTACCTTGTCTCAGAATTTCAGCTCAAAATATCGAGTCGTTTAAACATGAAGTCTAAACCGCTTATCCGGACACGTAACCCTTTTAAAATTTAGGGTCTATTTTTTTTGGTTGGGTGACCTGATAATCTATTGCCGTTCCGTAGAGCTCTGTACAGTGCATGCCCCTCGTGCTGTACTTGAATGAAGACTGACGGGTTTAAGTTAATTGAGTTAGTTGCTCGACCCTAATGTAGAGGATTTTAGGGGCTTTTAACACAAAATTAAACAGTTTTATTTTCCAAAATATATAATCGAGATACTGACTGGGTCGAGGGGAATTCCCTTTGGTTCATTCATAGTGCAGATGTATTATGGATACCATCCTTCAAAATGAAATGGGGTTTAACGTCCAGTTCTGCTCCGATTGGGCTAATGCAAACGGGAATACGCCATACATGTGCTATGCTGGGAATTTTGCCCGGACAGCGCCGCTACGGCCCACTCTTTTGCAAAGGGATCTTTGAAGTAACGCCAATGTGTGTACACGGGACTTCGGTTTTTAGTCCCATCAAACGACTAGACAACTCCGTCCTGCACCACTGACAATGGGGAAACCACACCGGAAAATTTCGATAACTTTCTCGGCAAACATCGTGACTAACCCGGGAGGATGTCATGCTTGGGAGTCGCGTGTATAATTCCCGATTACGTTTTGTTTGTTTAGTTAGTCCTACGACTATTGATGGGTACACGCATGTCATGAATTAAATACAAGTTCCAAAAACACTAAGTAAAAGTCTTGTTATAAATGATCAAAGTTATATTCGCGTTTTACTGCAATCGGAGCGTTCTGAAACATGCGATTTCTGTTTTGCTGGTAGCCTAAAAAGAAATTACAATGTATAAATATTTTTTTTTGTGTGCGTTTTAGTTTTTGGCCTGGAGACAATTAAGTACAATTGCAATGCCACGGGTCTCAAAAATCACTATAAAAATAAAACGAAACTGGGAAGGATTTATGTGGCATTAAAAGCTGTAAGTAGCTATCTCATGTATGATCCAAATTCCTGCCAAAGACATAATTATTTTGTTCTGTGCAACTTTTTGCGACTGACCTGTTAAATACAAAAATGTAGCGAACACGTTTGAAAAGTTTGATATGTGAAAGGAGAGAAGACGTGTAGACCTATAGTAAAAACCAATAGCAATGTTGATTCTAATGCCCTACATTGTATATTCATTCATGAGCAGTCACCATTTAGCCTACCCCAGAAATATTCCCCCGAAGGGTGATCTTGTAAAACTGTACTTTCTACCGACATAACGCTGCCTCCTGTGTCAGCTTCAATGTACATAGAAAAACTACCTCACTTCCGTGAACAGAACAGCACGTGGACACTGGTGACGTAATAGTGCGCGATTTCATTTCTGCTAGGCACGTGCATGCTTTCTCCGTGTAAGATAATTATGTGTTGCGGTCGCTGATTGGATTAATATTATTATTTTGAACTCAAAATTAATAAAGTAAAAGATTATCGATTATAATAATCAGATCAATCTATATGAATTTTGCAACCCCAAAAAATGAATTCGTTATAGTTGAAACTGTTGGTCTCTGCTGCCAACATCGATTGTAGGGTTTTATTTTTAAAATCTTAAAATGCATTTAACTTAGTTTTATTAACTACTTTTTAACATTTATTAAGTATCGGTTTATACATAAGATTGGTGATTTAAAATGTATGACATAATAATATAGCTTTAAATGGGTTGGGAATTACGGTCTTTTTTTTAAAGTTTTAACTATAGCTCTTAAAAAAAAAATGAGTTTTGTATGGGAAACCCCCTAAAATGATTATAACTGCTTAAAATAACTGCAGGCCTAATCTCGACAGGTGGGTTTTTTTTTTCTGTTTTGGTTGTTTTTTTTTTATTTCCCTTTTTTTTTTTAGGGCGGTGTGAAAACTAAAAACATAAATTTTAAAAGTTTTGTATGGGAATTCCCCAATCTAATCCTGTTCAATTAAAGCAGTTGCATGATCAGCAAGACCGCCCTGGGTTGGCGCGCTAAAGGTCACATGATTAGTCACATGACTAAATCGGCGAAAGAATACGTTTTAATGATATTTTATATGTTTGCTGTTATGAGAAATAGATTAAACAAAATAAACTAAAAACTACCGTTTTCTCAATTCTTATCACTAATGTGGCTATTTAAAAGAAATAGCAAACCAAATTGCGGACAAAACGTTGAAACAACTTTTAACGGTGAAGTGCCGGAATTCAACGGCTGAAATGTAAACACGAATTAATGGGCGATTACCCTTGTGGTTGTCTTTGCCGTTAATTAGCTTAATTAATCGATCTGTCAGGTGTTTATTTGTTGTTAGATACCATTATCTGTACTATGTATAGCGGTCTGTATTCGACATGTTTGTCTGTTATTGAAAACATCGCAATAAGATGCAGGATTTGTTATATTTACCCGTGCAAAATGTTCTTTTCAACGGTAGGTTGGCTACTTTCGGTTTATTGACAATATTATTTGCTACCGGTACTTTAATTTTCATATATCTTACAGTATTATCACGAAAGTTGTCGAACGATATTAAACCTGTGCACAAATGGGTTCTATTTAAACTATGTCTAATATAAGTAATTGGGATCAGTGATGTACGTATGTATTCTAGGTTTTCCAAAAGAGAGGGATGGCGGTACACAATTTTGAACTGACTTATTTAATTGATCTATCATATATTTGTTGGTGAAAAACGTTATTTTTTTTTTATTTTATTTATTTTTTTTTTTGACAGTTACCCCCCCCCCCCCACCAGCATTAAAAAAAATTTATTTATGACATCAGACTGGAAACCGTATTATAATTAATTTAAATGTCAATTCTGATCATATTTAATTTATGCTGTTAAATACCTATCCTAAGACTTTAGTTACCAAGTAATTGTAATCACATTAGAAATTCCTTGGGGGGATTGGAATGTCTTCTCTATATTTTATGTGGCTCAGTGGGTGAGATGTTGTCTTGCTAGCCTTGGAGGTCCTGTGTTCGAGCTTGAAAGTACATCTGGATTTTCTGGCATGGTTCCTCCTTCAATGATGTAGGAAGGAGGGCTGGGCAAAGGACAGCGTATTGTCATTCAGATGAGGAAAAACACAAGGTCCCATCTATACACATTGGCATGCACGTAAAAGAAGGGGGGATTTGGATGGCTGAATGGTTAGCGTGCACAAGCTGTATCATAAAGTCTGTCATTGAGACGACTGGCGTGGTTTCAAATCCCCGGTTGTACGTGACAAGGAGTAGGGTTGCCTGTCCAACCTCGTGGGTTTTCTCCGGGTCCTCCGGTTTCCTCCCACTGCTAAAGACCCCTATGCACAAGCGAATTATTGAAATAAAATTAAACCATATGTTAGTCCCGAAATGACCTAGTTTGTGTCGAGTGGACGTTAAACCCCATTTCTCTCTCTCTCTCTCTCACGTAAAAGAACCCTTAACAGTTGTAATTCAGGATAAAAGTAGGCTGTAGCACCACTGTCCGGGCAAAATTTCCCTCATAGTACACTGCATGGTACATGCCCATCTTCATTAGCCCAGTGGGAGCAGAACAGTACGAAGTTAAACCCCATTTCATTTCTTTATATTATTTACATATATATGTGGATTTTTAAATTTGATGTGGGCTTTATCAATGTACTTGAGATGTCCACCGAATTAAGTTGTCAAATACCCTTTCCCACATCCACTCTCGACACCACTCTACTCCTTCCACTCTATTTTTTTCTTCCAAATGTCATTCATTCATTCATTTTATTATTTAGATCTGTTTGATTGGACTGACAATAAACAGAAATGTCAACAGACCACAGCAGTGATTAATACCAGAGGATTAAAGCCGACTAGCAATAAATCGGGATCATTGGTGGAGTGTAATGAAGAACAAATAGCACTTTTTAGACATGGACAAAAAGTGTATGCTGTAAAAGAAAAATGCCCACATGCAGGTATTGATATATTATATTTTATTAATTATTATGGGTTTACAGTGGACATATTGATGTTTATTCAAATCCAGAAAGACTGTTTAATACCACTTATGAGCAAGAAATTGGGTGTGTGTGGCAGGGATATAGTAAGCTGGCTGAAAATATCACTTGTGGCCCTTACATCAAATGTGAAAAGGATTGCATATTCTGGTGATTGTCCACCACACTCACACAATTGCAATTTGTATGGTGTGGTAGATAGATAGATTTATTTGGGGCACAAACATAAACTACATAATATGTAAAAGAAATATTTGTGGTCCCTTGAATATTTGGAGTGCCTGACTGTAACCCAGTATGCCCAGCCCCATGATCCGAGCCTAGTGTCCGGTCATACTGTTCACAAGTCAATTTTCCAACAGATAATAAGGTCAGTTCCGTAGATGTTGCTTTTAAAATGTACACTTACTTCTAAATTTGTTGTACCCCCTACGATTCCCCTTGTCAGTGGTGCAGGACAGAGGACCTGGCAATGGATAATGTATAGTCGTTTGGATGGGATGAAAAACTGAGGACCTGTGTTCACATTGGCGTGCATGTAAAAGATCCCTTGGCAGCTGGAATTTGATATAAGAGTAGGCTGTAGTGTCGCTACCTGGGTAAAATTTCCCTCATAACACACAATATGGGCAATGGCGTACACCCATCCTCATTAGCCCAGTCAGAGCAGAACAGTAGGATGTTAAATCCTATTTTATTTCATTTTTATACCCCTACATATTTATGAGATGGCTCGGGGTACGATCCCGATATTGGCTGAGAAAATTCCCCGCAATTTTCCAATTAACCCGGTTGGTGCAGAAATGTAAAACTTTAAACCCGATTAGTACATGTACTTTGTTTCGTTTAAGTTTCATTTTGTGTAGGTTCACTTTCTCAATTAAACCGATCAAAATATCATAGGATTACTGCAATAACCGGATCAAAGGGGGTGGTTGAAGGGGCTGAACCCTCCAAATTAGTCCTACAACACAAATTATACCACAAATAAAATTTTTATATGTTACGGTAAGGGGGGGGGGGGGGCGCCTAAAATTTTCCTTGCTACGGCTACTGTCAGACAACCAGGGGGCCTACACCAGAATATGCCCCCTTTTCATTGTTGATGCAAGGGTCCCATGACATTTTCAACCAAAGGCTCATGCAAGCTTAATCCAACCCTGATAACTAGATTAGTATTTTAATGGACTGGAGGCTGGTCTGAGATACACATTATTGATGCATTTCTTTCCGACAAATTTGACAATTGGAATAGACTGTCATTACAGTCAAATTCTAACTTTAAATCTTCAGGACCACATGGCACAGTCGTTGTATATTGCTGTCACCTCTGTCTGTTCGTCCATCCTGTAAAGGTGTCTTGTAAATGCTCCCATTATCTACAACAGCATAGGCCTACATATTGCACAACATTTGTCGACTATGTGGGCGTATGTTTCATTGCCTGGCAACCTATCTTTTTTTACTTTAAAATCAGAAAACAAAATATCTGTTATTTTTAGACTATATATACTATATAATAAATAATATTGTTTCTGTTTGTCAATTTCTGTATTCCCGGTATATATTTTTGATTTATTTTAGGTGGTCCACTGCACCTTGGCGACATAGAAGAGTTGGCGGATGGCGGCTTGTGTGTGAAATGTCCTTGGCACAGCTGGAAATTTGACCTGGAAAGTGGAGAAGTGAAATTTCCAGAAGGTCACACTAAGATGGCTGTCACCTATAAAGTTCGAGTGAAAGATAATGGACAAATTTTAATCGGATTTGAAAAGTTTTCTGAAAAGTATTTTCAAATGGACAATGATTTTTAATAACCAACACACTCAGGTTCATCAAGTGGTTTGTGATATCATGTCAGAAATTGATTCAGGTTAAAGTGATGACCTGTTGTTCAACCAGCCGATGTTTTCATACATTGAAATGTAGCCACATATTACCAATGGGTGTCTAAGTTGTTGTTTGGCTCGTCATCGAGGTAGCGCTTTTCAGACTGCATTTGCCAAGTTATTTTGGTGAAGGAGTGGGGGGGGGAGACTACACCACTGTATATATAAGCTTTAGTGATTCAGAGGTTACGGGAAATAGTGATAATAGTGACTTGGGGAAAGTACTATTAGGAGCCAGGTATGATAAACCTACTACATGTACCTAACATATATCTTACCTACAAGCCTAAAATTAGGGCACCTGTCACAGACATTGTTAGGCACCAATTGAGGATTTGACCGATACAATCCCTCAAGTGTCTGTTATTTTTGTCTGTCACAAAGTTGTTTTTTTATCAATGTTTTTATTGTTATTTTAATACATGTCCTGCACAAAATTCAAAATGTCTGA